GTTTAAAAATTATTTTTACGGTCTTGTATTTTCTAAAATTAAATTTGCGCGACGGAATTATTTCTTCGGCAAAAATTAATATATTATAATTAAATTAAATTTTTTGGTAACAGAAATAGTTTTGATTTTTTTTTTAATAATAAAATGAAATTGCAATAAAAAAAATGTAATGAAGAGAAATATTTTTGTTATAATAGAATATATTTAGTACAATAGAAATATTGAAAATGTAATTAAGAAAGTTAAAAATCTAATCAAACAATCGTCCAAGATCTACATTGTCGTCTGGCAAATGCGGCTCGGAGGTCTGGACATTGTCAACAGGGGGAGTGGTGTGGTGGCCATGCTCGGGTTCACAGGGCTCAGAGGTCGACGGGGGAGGAAAAGGAGGAATTGCAATGCCGGAGTGAGCGAGGGACTGTAGAAGATGTGACAAATGACCCTTGAGCTCGGCCACCTCTGTCTTCAAAGCAGTCACCTCACTGTTTGACTCTGATGATTCACGGGGTCTAGGTGGCTGCTGCCTGGCACTCCCCATATGGTGGAGAAGAGCCTTCCTCTGCCTATTGCCCTTATTTGCTTTGGCCTTCTTCTGTTATACAAAAAATAAAACGTATTAGTTGAAAGTCAAATGAAATATAAAAAATTAAGTACACATTAGTAAGAAACGTGTAATAAGTTTCAACTTAATATAAAAAAATACCACATAATCGGCCTCCTGAAAATGACCGCAAAGCCACTGCCAACTATCCTCCCGGCCCTCAAGCTCCTTCGGGCAACCCTCTTGAAGAGCGACCATAGGATCATCATATGCCTGAAAATGGTGGTGCAGGTCGCTCTTCCACTACTTGTACCTCTCAGCAAAGAGTTTGTTGACATAACTCTAGAAATGAAAACATCTTTATACCATCTAAAATCACTTAGCTTAGGGCATCTAAGGTTGCTTAGCTGGTCATGGATCCTAGCAGTTGTGTTACTAAGGGTACCAATAAAATGCTCTATAATCGTATAAAGCAAAGTATTGACTCCATCTTCTATTCCTGCACCTAAGCGTTCATCAAAACACTACTACATTTACTGCTTGCGCGACGAAGAGGTTTTGGTCGCGCAAAGTGAATTTCAGTCGCACAAGTATTAGTGCGACATAATTGTCGTCGCGCAAAACTCGTCTAGAATGGCTTTGCACGACAAACCTATTGAATTAGTCGCGCACGAGAGCGACGAGTAACCTTCGTTGCACTAAAAGTATCGGGACGGCGAGATTTGTCGTCGCTCAATGAGTTGCGCGACGAACATATAGTCGTAGCAAGTGTATTGCGTGACGATTTATTTTCGTCGCGCAGAGTTAGCGGGACGAGAAAATGTTCGTCACTTGCGACGAATACAGAGTGGTAGCTCTGTGCGCGACGAGAATACGTACGTCACTCAAATATTTGCGCGACGAAATCATATTTGTCGCAGGCTGGCGAGACAAAAAATTTCGTCGCGCAAAAATAGAATAAATTGTTTAAAAATTATTTTTACGGTCTTGTATTTTCTAAAATTAAATTTGCGCGACGGAATTATTTCTTCGGCAAAAATTAATATATTATAATTAAATTAAATTTTTTGGTAACAGGTCGGTCGTGCTGGGAGGGCGGTGACGCCTCCTGGCACTAACTGGTTGCGCCACTGATGACTCTGATGATGCCGCCGCACGGGAGAGAGGGGGAAACTCTGGCATGTCGTGCAACTGTGCTACAGCAGTGGGAGCTGACACCGTAGTGGGGGGAGCTGAACCATGTGGAGTCATCACCGTCTTTCGACGTCTGATAAGATCTGACATCTGCACAACTAATAAGGTCTTAAAATTAAAAACATCCTTGGCTAAAATTATTATTTTTTATAAAAACAAACCTCAAAACCTAATCAACAACAAATTCAATATTTAACAAACAACGGCCTTAACATGTATTCTTATATGCCAAAAAAATAGAAGCACACTTTTGAAAGCAAACAAAACACATATTCAGCTCAACAAAGCAAAATAAAAAAAAGTAAACAATATCACATAGTTTAAAGCCCCCGAAAAGTAATCAAAATACAAAAAACAGCATCAATATTTAAAAAGCAGCAATATTTAAACAACAGCAACAAATGCTCCAAAAAACAGCAATACACCTAAAAATTCACAAATCCAACACCAGAATCCAATTTCAACACCTCCAATCAAATCTGAAATAAAAAATACAAATCCAATACAAAAACAAAATTGAAACAGCAATTTAAACACTTAGGATGCCAAAACACAAATCCAATACATATCCTAACCAACCATCAGACTAAGCAGCAATTTAAACAATTACAAAATAAATATAGTAATTGAAACAGCAAAACAAATACACAATTCCAAACTTAATCCGAAAAATTTCATAAATAAAACTTAACAATTGAAAATATTAATCGGGGAGAGTTGGGAATTTTACCAACTGGGTTTCGAGGGAGACCGGAGAGCACGGCAGTCCGGCGGTGGCGAGCGAGACAGAGAGTGGGGGGCCGCCGTCTGACAGGGATGAGCGGAGATGGAGGAGAGAGGGACTGAGAGGGATGCGAGGGGGCGGATAAGAGAGGGACTGATAGGGATAAGTGGGGACGGAGGAGACTGAGAGGGATGAGTGGGGACGGAGGAGAGAGAGCTGCCCAGAGGAGCCACAAAATGCGACGGATGAGAGGAGTCCGAGGAGAGAGGGACTGAGAGGGATGAGTGGGGACGGAGGAGAGAGGGATAGAGAGGGATGAGATAGAGGGGAAGGAGAGAGAGCGGCTGCGAGTTAGGGTTCGAATCGGAGAGAGAAGGGGCTGCGAGTTAGGGTTCGAGACTGAGAGACTGAGAGAGGTTGAAGACAGACCAAAACTGCGCGTTTCTTTCACAAAATATTTGCGTTTTTGCGCGACGAATAAAACATCGGTCGCGCAAAGGTAAATTTCGTACTTTGCGCGACGGAACAAAATAATAAGCGTCGCGCCAGAAATTTTTAATAGGCGGGATCCGAACCGCCAAAAATTTGAGGACTTGCGCGACGAAAAAAACAACATCGTCGCGCAACCTAAACCCTAAACCCTAAACCCTAAACCCTTTCAAAACCCTAAATCCTGAGAATTACATTGCACGATGGAAATTTTAAATTGCGTCGCGCTATCCTTTATTGCGCGACGAACAAGGGAATCATTCGTCGCACAAGTATTGTTTAAAGTTACAAAAACTAAACAATATAAAAGCATGGAAATGTTAGTGAATATATTGTTTTAATAACCTTCGCATTCTACGATACTAGTTTCACCGATCCAACCATCAAACTTGTTTGTTTATATATAGAGATCGTACACACCAAAAATTGAAAAAATGCAACTTTCATAGATGATGTTACGGGATCAAAATTTTCGACGTTTATAAATGAAAAATCACGATTTAACGGTTTTTTTAACTCCGATTTTGATGATTTTTTGCGGGTGCACTCCTTTACTGTATATGAATACAATGATTGAATTGGATCGTCATTTAAAAATATTTACAATAGTGGATCCCACAAACTCGTATGTTATATTTAACAAACATATACAGAAACTTTTCATTTTTTTTGAATATATTGTTTTCATGACACACGCATTATAGGAAAGTAGTTTCACCGATCCAACCGTCAAACTTGTTGGTTTATACTTAACGATCGTACAAGCCAAAATTTGGAAAAAATATACAATCATACATGATATAACGGGACCAAAATTTTCGACGGTTATAAATGAAAAATCAAATTTTAACGGTTAATTTAACTCCAAATTTGATGATTTTTTACGTCTACACACCTTGACCCCGTATGAATATAATCAATGAATTTGATGTTCATTTAAAAAAATTTACAGTTTAATTTCGACAAAATTTTTTTTAAACACTTTGCGCTACGACAACTCACACTATATGCAACTACGTCGCGCCAAGTCAAACATAAAATAATAAATAATTAAAAACGACTTTATTTTGTAAACGATGGCTTGCGACGAGGCCTTCTTGTTCGTCGCTCAAAAAATTGCGCGACGCATATTTCTGTCCCACATAAGTACTTTGCGCGACGTGACATGCATTCGTCGCGCAGAATTTATTTCATATTAGTTTAAAATTTATAGCATATTTGTTTCCGTGCGCGACAAATATATCTGTCCTGCAAATTTCGCATACGCGACGGGTAAATTTTTTTCGTCGCGCAAGATTATTTCTATTAATTCAAAATTTTGTTTCATATTTTATAATTTGCGCGACGAAAATATTCGTCCCGCAAAAGCTCCTTGCGCGACGCCATACATGTCTTCGTCGCGCAAATGTAAGACCGGTCGGTTAGCAGGGACGACCGGTCGTTTTTATACAGAGGCTTCGTTTATCAGTGATGACCGGTCGGTTATTTCCGACGACCGGTCGTTTTTTTACAGATTCGTTGGTCCATTTTTGCAATTCCAACCTCTGTTCAGTTTTTAATCTATAACTTCCTAATCGTATATCCAAATTTCGATTTTTTTATACGGTTGGATTCAGCACAGAAAAACGAAGAACACAGCGCAGACCAAAGGTCAAAAACCTTCGTTGAAGTAAACCATTTGCATGAGCATTGAGATTCTTTCTCAATTTGAGATGTATACGATGAAATTGGGAAGATTTGCAACTTTTCAGACACTAGTTTCATTTGTACTTTTGTACTAATTTGCATTTACGCCATGTCTAAGTGTAAAAGAATTTAATTAAAAAAGTATGAATGACTTGATTTCATTGCTTTTTACATTAAACTTCTCAGTAAGTATATCCAAATGTTGTTAACTCCGTTTTATTTCTCCACATACATATATAATTGGAAATTATATATAACAAGTACATATATTCAACAAAAGCAGAGTTGCCAATATATTTACACTAACGTAATTACATTACAAGAAATTACATTTACTAAAACATAGTAAGTCACAAATACATTGCATTATTCATCATCCGAACTATAATAACCTTCGTTGTCTTCGCTATCATCACTTTCAGTCTCCCAATCATCCTCCTCCTCCTCCTCCTCCTCCATAACTACATCATCGTCATTGTTGGGGCCCACTGCAGCATCGTATCTAGGAAGATCACCGAGGTCAATTGTAATGGATTGAATCGGTATTTCTCCTGAAGACACTCCTTCAAGCTGAAACGGTTCCTGAACAACAGTTGTATCGCGAAGCGTTTCCGCATCATTTTCCATGCAAGATGATGATCGTTGGTCAGCGACGTCGACGTCATATGGGTCTAGTTCTGGTATAGCATATATACGTTCCTGTGATCCATCTGCTGAACAACTT